TGTGAGATGACAGGTAAAGAAAAGAAACACGATCTAGATGCAAGGACGAGTGGTTGAGTGCACAAGTAGAGGGATTAATGATGAGGTTACACTATTGTAAATATCCTTATAGTTTGGGTTTATATTAAGGGAAAAATTCATAATTAACAGGTTTAGTTTCACCCATTTCAAATTTAAAAACGTAAATTTAAAATTTTAATTTTATATATTTTTAAAATTTATTTATAAATAAATTAATTAAATATATATTTTACTAATTGAATATATTAAGGTCACAATTTATATAATTTGATCAAAAATTCGATGTAATTAGTCACATATTATTAATTTGTCACAAATCAAAAAATTTACATATCACAAATTATTTTATGGTCACAATTCAAAAAATTTATAGGTCACAATTTGTTCATCGATCACAAATAAAAAATTGAAACGTCACAAATTATTTTACTGTCACAATTCAAAAAATTTATGTCACTAATTATTTTACGGTCACAATTCAAATATTTTATAGGCCAAATTTGTCCATCGATCACAAATCAAAAACTTCGTAAGTCACAAATTATTTTTACGGTGACAAATCAGAAATTTTATACGTCATAAATTATTTTACGGTCACAATTCAAAAAAATTATAAGTCACAATTTATTCATTAATTATAAATAAAAAATTTATATGTCACAATTTATTTATCGGCTACAGATCACAAATATTTTAAGTTACAACTTGGTAGACAGTCACCAATTGTCAAATTATTTATCACAAATTAACAATTTTTTAGGTCACACATTATTTTTTTTGCACAATTTATTTATTGGTCATAGATTAACCAATTAAATAGTCACAATTAACTAAATAATTTGTGACCACGGCCAATGTTCACGACGCCACCTCACAACTGCCTCAACAACACAATCGCTGTCGACGTCGCCGCACAACTGCCAGACCCCCACCACAAAAACCGAAACCACACAAAACAACACCACCACAAAAACTGCCACCACACAGCCTAACCCATACTCCACCATCCCGCAGTCCCATTACACTCCACGCGGTGCCACCACCATCATCCACACCAACGGCGCCTCCACCACCATCACGTCACTACCATCCAATCATCCTCACAAGCACTTTTCGTCCCAGTCCCATCCCGTCACCGCCACTACACAAACACCACCAACAATAACAATGCAACACCACGGCCACCAACATCACCACCACCACCACCACACACCACATTTTCACCCTTCCACTCCTGCATTGATCCCTCTATCACACAAAACCACTTTTTCAAGCACAATTTTCCAAACGCAAAACAATATTGTAACTTGTAGAGGAACTGTGCACCTATGAGCTTCTTGTTGCAATTGATTTTGGGATCAACATGTCATTGAACACATAGAAACTTTCTTGTGGTGTTGGCATCAAATGGAATTTCTGACTGAACTTGAGCACGTCCTGTTCACCGGCAAGTTGGAGATTACCTGAGACGAAAACAAGCATACCGTCGGCGGCGCCCAGCTCAATTCGCATCAAAAGGATTCGCGAGCCCAGCTCGATTCGCATCAACAATAATAGATAGAAAAGTGAGGTCGTGCCGGCGAGGTGGTGCATGCGGTGTGATGCCGGTTGTGTGGTGGCGGCGGCGAATAGTCAGGGAGAGGAGAGAAAATGGGGAGAAGAAATAATTAGGGTTTTGGTTGGGATATTTAGGATTTTGCAATTATGATTTAGAGAGAAAA